CGGACGAACAAAGATTACGTATCTAATCACTGAAGCTTTAGCTCCATATTTCAAGAATGAACAGAGAAAAAGGATCGAAGATTCGTATTTTACGTTACTCTATGACGAAACTACTAATGCAGCTGGTAGAAAAGAGCTCCACATAGCTATTCGCTATTGGTGTGAATCTATGAATAGTATTGTTACTCAACATTTAGAAACATTTTTTATAGGAAAATCCAGAGCTGACGATATTGTAAAGAAGTTGAACGAAGTTATGTCTAATACCAATCTTCTTTCCTCCAATCTATTAATGCTCGGTAGCGATGGCCCTAACGTTAACAAAGCTGTTTTCAAAAAGATGGATCAGATACTTATCGAATCAAGAAGGAAGGGTTTGATTAATATTGGAACCTGCAATATACATACCACTCACAATGCTTTTCGCAAAAGTATGAAGAAACTTGGTGATAACGCATCCGATTTGTTATATTTTTTGCATGACTTTTTCAACGGTTGGCCTGGAAGATGGGAAGATTTTTGCATCGTGTTAGAGAAGTACAATCTGCCCTTTTATCATTTTCTCAGACATGTCCCTCAACGTTGGCTTACTATAGAAGATGCTGGAAAAAGGGCACTTTTGTTATGGACAGCTACAAAGTATTATTTTTTTGAATATATTTTAAAAGAAAAAAAAGACAAAACTCTAATGGAATCTTTAGCTTATCGACGGATTGCAAATCTCCTCAAAAGACCAACTATGAAGGCAGAAGTTATGTTTGTTGTTTTGTCTGCAAATATTTTTACTTCTGTCACAAGCGTTTTCCAAAGAGAAGAGCCTCTGATACATTTGCTTTACTCTGAATTGAAGAATTTAATAAAAATTCTTATCGGAAGATCATGTAAGAATACTAATCTTGCTTACGATGAAATATTCAAAGGGAGTAATTTGCTGCAGCCTGATAAAGTTGTCGTTGATAAGACTATACTTGACGAACTTGATCGTTGCGGTGATTCTGTTGCGAAAATTCAATTTCTCGAAAAAGCAAGAAATCATTATGTATCTGCCTGTGAGTATATATTGGAAAAATCATCGCTCCAGTTGAAGAATAATATATTACGAAGTGTCAGGTGTTTGCATCCTTCTGAACGCCAGAAATCTTATTCCATTTCTGCGATTATGACAGCGGCGAAGGCATTACCGTTCGAAATACAAACCGATATTTTAACAGATGAATGGAAACTCTTACAAGAAGAAAAGTATCCTGAGACAGACATATCTAAGATTCGAATCGATGTATATTGGAGCTATTTTTTTGCTCTGAAAAATAGTTTTGGTAATATAAAATATCCTGTTGTGTCAAAAGTCGTGAAGGCTCTCCTGAGTCTTTCACATGGAAACGCCGATGTAGAACGAGGATTTTCTACATCTGCTCTTATTCTTACAGATAATAGAGCTTCTATGTCCGAAAAAACGTTAAACTCATATATGATTGTCAAGTATGCTTTGAAGATGTACAACAATTTACCTCATACAGTTCCTATCACTAAAGAACTTTTAAACTTGGCTAGAACAGCGCGTCAAAAATATGACGAATACTTGGAAGAAAAAAGAAAAAAAGAAAAACAAGAACATGAAACAAGAGTAAACGAAGAGATAAGGAAAGAAGAAGAGAAAAAAAGATTAGAAGAATTAAAATCAAATAAAAGAAATCTTCAAACAGAAGAAAAAAAGCTGATGGAGTTGCGTCAGTTTGAAGATACGAAAGCTAAGCAGGCTGATAAACTATTGGAAGAGGCTAGCCAGAGATTAAAAAAAGGAGTAGAAAAAGAGAATATGGAAGAAATAGCTCTCGCTGAAGCAATGCTAGTAGGTGTTACAAAGCTTCGTAATGAAGCGCAAGAAAAAAGAAAGCAAGTTAGAGATAAAGAAAAAGATGTAAATAAAAGGAAGAATAATGTTTTAGATTATTTTACTAAAAAATCAAAGAACAATTAAATAATGAAGTTTTATTATACATATTTAGATTTAATTAGATAATATCTGTGATTTTGTTCTTATGTCTTATATTTCCTTTCCATGTATTAGTCTTGTATTAATTCTCTATATTATTTATTATATATGTCAAGATTTTTTTATAAATATAAAATTAAAAAGCTTTTGAAGACTACAATTATTTTTTTAGGAACAGAAGAACAAGAATTAATGTTATTTTTTTTTTTAAATGACCTTACTCCAAAAAGTTAATAAAAATAATTATTTTAATTACTGTTTTATTTTAATGCCTCAAGAGTCACTTTTTGTCACTTTTTCTGTAAAGAAATAGTCACTATTTCACTTTTTTCGGTCTGATAAACGGGTGGCAGCGCTGGGAGGGTGACAGGGAGGAAAATGACGTCTCAGGGTGCTGACACATGGAAAAATTGCGTGGTCGCCGCGTGGTCAATGACCGCCAGGGTCCTCCGGTAAGCTAACGCGCGCGGTCCTCCCCCGCCGCGAGGTCCGTCGGGCGCGGTCCCTCCGG